GGAGTAACCAGAGAGACCTTGGAAGGTCGGGCCGAAATGCGGTTGCGGCCCCTTTAATTGCCGCATGTCCCAAGCAGGCTTCCATCAGCCACTGGGAAAAGTGGAAAAATTTCCTTAATTAGAAATACCCTAGGAACACCTGTGACAATTTTCTTTAAAAAAAAAAAAATATATTGTCGTCACACACACAAAAAAAACCAAACCAAACCAAAGAAGTAACAAAAACAAAGAAGAGGTCATAGCATACCTGCGAGTTGTTCACAGAACACTAGTGTTTTTCAACCTATTTTTATAAAGTACCCCTTTTAAAAAAAATTATAAGTACCCCCAGTACCTACAGTTTTCAGACACACAGAATTTGTTTCTACCATTGCAAAACATGTGTTTAAACAATTTAATTGTAGCCAGACAGGTGACGAAATTTTTGGGTGTAAAAAGTATACAAATAATAAAGCGCTGTAAAACTTGAAAAAAATTCAAATTTTCTTCAAATTTCAGTTGTGTTAACATACCCCCCAGACTTCTCTTGAGTTGTACCACTGGTTAAGAACAACTGCTTTAGAGTATAGGATTAGAATTCAAAATGATCTTGACACACTGGAGAAATGGTCTGAAGTAAATACAATAAAATTCAGTATGGACAACTGCAAAGTACTATACTTAGGAAGATATCAATAGCACAAATACAAAATGGAAAATGACTGCCTAGGAAGGAGCACTGTGGCAAGGGATCTCAGGTTCATATTGGATCACAAGATAAATAGGGGTCAACAGGAGAACACTGATGTATACTTTTTTAAAAATTTTACAACATTCAGGAGTATATAAGCAGGAGTATTTATTGTAAGCAAGACATAAGAAGTAATTCTTCTACTCTACTTAGCATTGATAAGGCCTCAACTGGAGTACTGTGCCCAGTGCTAGGCACCACAATTTGAGACAGTTGTGGACTAATGGAAAAAATCCAGAGGAGAGCAACAAAAGTGATTAAAGGTTTAGAAAACATGACTTACAAGGAAAGACAGAAAAAAATGAGTTTGTTTAATATGGAGAAGACTGAGCAGGGACATGATAACTAGGGATGTGAAAGATTAACTATCTAACGGGTAATCATCACCCTTAAAGGGTGACGCTTACTGGTTCTGGTTAACCGGTGGAGGCTGGAGCAGCTATCTGCCATGGCTGCTCCAGGTGTGCAAGGGTCAGCCGCCGACTGGGGCACTCCAGCCTGACTGAAGCAGTCCCAGTCTGCAGAGGGCCCAGGCACATCGCAGGCCAGGGCTGCTCCCACTACCCCTTTAATCAGTTAACTGGTTAAACATTACATTTAACAGGTTAACCAATTAAATGGGATTTTACATGCCTAATGGTAACAGTCTTCAAGTACATAACAGATACTGGTAGTAACAAAGAGGAGGCTAATAAATAATTCCTTATCCACTGAGAACAGGACAAGAAGTAATAGGCTTAAATTGCAGTAAGAGAAATTTAGGTAGGCATTACAAAAAACTTTCTAATTGATAAGGGTAGTTAAGTACTGGAATAAATTGCCTAAGGAGGTTTTGGAATCCATCACTGGAGATTTTTAAGAAGAGGTTAGACATATACCTGTGAGGGATAGTCTAAATAATACTTAGTCCTGCCTCAATGCTGGGGAATGGATTAGATGACTTATCAAAATCCCTACATTTCTCTGATTCTATCTCAATCAATGTCAGCAAGAAACAGCTTCCTGTCAAGTAAAATGGTAGTTTTGTAGCTTTCTAATGGGGCACACAGCATTTACTTCCCGCCTTATCATCAGATACGGAACAATTGAACCTAAAAATATTCATATGTAAGATATATTTTGGTAATGTTTATAGTTTTCCAAAAATTCTCCCCTTCACCTAAGGTCTATATAGTGGATGGCTTATTAAAGGTCACAAAAAATTCACAGTAACTTTTTTAAACTCTCAAACATTTCTAATATAGTTAAGTTGCAAAATATGTCCTATGCAGAATACATCAAAGAATGGCATGGTGCAAAGGTTTTATTGGCACTTGTTTCAGTTAACTTGCATAGTTCCATAATGGTTTTGACAATTCAGCACCCGAGACACATGATAACTCTTTAAGCAACAGTGTACAATTATATATATTTATCTGTGCAAATATATACGATATGTCTTTTGTTTTACATGTTCTATATTTATACAGCATTTTCTTCTTACAAAATGAGCTAAAGCACAGAATGGTGAAAAACTTCTGGAGTGACTTCAAAACCTTATAACTCGTAAATTAGCAAAGGAAGCATCTCGATAGTATATTTAAGTTTAATGAAAGAGTCAGATTACAAAAGTCTACAGTAGTGGAAGAAAATGATATAGCTTTAAAGTTCAGTTGCACGGTATTAAAAAGCAATATTCAAATAAATTATTTTTCCCTGCAGTATACCAAGTGTTTGGAGATAGAATTAAAATTGGGCTTCCATTTTAGACTGAGTATAATACTAGACTGTAATGCAGTGTGTTCAAGTGAGCTCCAAGTGCCCAGAGTGTGTGAGAGAGCATTTTGCTTCAGGCATTTGAAACTTAATGCTACTTTAATATTCTCTGTTGGGTATTGTTACAATGGAATTTCAACTATGTCCTACAATTTGCGTTAAAGATTACCTGAATAGCGGTGAGCAGTACAAAATTTTTGAAGCATATATCTAGGCTGACATAGTGGCTTAATGTCCTGTTGTTTCTTGCTTTAGAAAAATTAATTTTTCCAGTCTTCTACAGTGAATGCAAGCACCACCTGGAGATTTAAATTCACTGTTAACTGTAGTGTATTTGCAGTTCTCTTGACTATTCTATGCTGAGGCTGGCCTATATGCATCAGACATGTAGAAAACAATAATGCCATCTTATAACACTACTTCATGTGCTTTTGAATCCAAAACTAGCCATACAATGGGTACCTTAAGTAATCAAGTCATTTAGCGTCTTGCTTCAAACAAGTCTGATGGCATATCACAATATTTTAAACGATTGCATGGTTTGTCCATAATTAAAACTATATTGCACAATCCTTAGGAAAACATCTCCCAATAGGAGATACTAACTCCCGTGTGGTGGTGATACATGTTTAATAAATTTCCTTGCTTTTTCAAAACAAAGTGTTAGATTCCAACTTTACAATCTTCCCCGAAGCAGGGACAGTGTGTAGCTGTATCTCTCCAGGAGGACAACAGAAAACAAAGTGTGACTGCAGTCACATTTTCTTTGCTTCCCCTTTGCTTTAGTGGATGGGAAAGTTATTTCTCCTCTTTTCATGAAGAAGCTTACTCGCGGTGCTCTTCTCATTCCACATCTGCATTCCCATCCACTAGCTTTCCTCTTCACAACCAGATTCACCCTCTGAGCAGGTCGGAGAAAGGGAGTAAAGCAATCTTTCTTGCCAAAGTGCCATTCTCCAGTATAGCCAAATAAGGCCTGCAGACAATCTAGCTCTAAATTTGGCAATTAAAGATTCATTCATCTGACCCTACTTCAGCTCATGTAGAAATATTATGCTGCTATTTATGTAGTTTGATAGTGCTACACTATCTGATGTTAATTTTCATAAACTAATTCTCACTCTTCATTGAAGAGTCAAACCAGATCAAGAGATAATGGCAAAAATACAAACTGTACAAAAAAGGTAGGCACACATCAAGGACTTATTAGTTTAATCTTTTTTTAAAAAAAAATTACAATAAAAACATTTTAAGTCATGTAACAGTCTTTAAGTATAAAGCTTTATAATACATTTAGAGGTACACCATCAAATTACAAATGCGTACTTCTGTCTGAAAAGATGCAGTCCATTATTGTTTTGAATAGCACTCAAGATTAATAAAAGACTAGAGAAAAAAGATTGATTTTCAGATTTTCATTTTGAACAATTAATGTTAATTGCCCTATGTAGCTAGTTTCACTTTTACTCTTAACTGGTCAGTTTCTTCTTTTGTTTATCTGGGTCTAAGAGCAACAGGAATAAAAACATTTTTAAGTTTAGAAAAAGATTATAAAACCAGAAACATTGGCAGGTGGACTAGGGCAGCGGTTCCCAACTGCCAATCCACGACCTGTGCCAGGCTGCAAACAGCTGGCTGCTGGGCCACGGCAGTGGCTGGAGCTGAAGCTGGCTGTTCATGGCGGCACTGGCCTAGTGAGCCGCCACACAGCTGCTGGCTTCAGCTCCAGCAGCTGTGGTGGCTGATTTTGCCCGGCAGTGGTGCTGGGGCTGAGGCGGCAACAGGAGGATGTCTGGTGTCTTCTGTAAGAGGGGAAATCATGCCCGGTTCCCAAACATTGCTGTCCTGGTCACCCCAGTGCCAGTAGCGAGGGTGCCGATGCCGACGAGACAGTCCGAGGCTTATTCGATTTAGTACAGATGTTCCCAGCTTATCCCCCGTGCTGACCCTACTCGTTGGAACAGGTGGAAGTGAGTGCACTGGTGAGGCACGTTTCTTTGCCGAAGAGCCCAAACTGAGGGAAGAGGCCCTTCGTTTTTGGGCCATAACAGGATCTGAGCAAGTAGTGGACGGTGTAGAGTCTGATGGCTGGAGCGCTTTGTCAAATAAGAGCATGTAAAGTCACATCTTTCTGTCCCGTCATGCCCTCACAGTTAGCTTAGAACAGTGCAGGCATTTTTGAGGCACATGTGCCTCACCGAGGCACCTAATACAAGAAGAGTACCATCGAAGGCCAGTATGGGCTTACAACAAGTATTGCATTTTTTGCAGCCCTGTGACCTCGGCATCATGAGGGGGTGCTCTCATCTGCCCCCATGTTCATTTCTGTTTCTTTCCCAGGTTACTTTTTTTTTTTTTTTTTGGCTGTGGTCTTAAAGACGGCTAGTAGCTACATAGTTTAAAAAACATTTTTTTAAACTGAACGACAAACTCCTTAACAGTAAACTATAACTAGAAATTGAGTATAAACAACTGAACTATTTAACTAAGAACTTTTTTTTTCTGACTAGAACAGTTGAGTAGAAGGGCTCACTCTGTCTGCCACCAAGAGCAGCAATGAAAGAACTGGCGGGAGTCGGACCCTGCGCTTGTGCAAAAGGGCACAAACGTCACGAGACACCAACTGTGCACATGCAGTCCGGCTGACTACTGCTATGCAAAACTCCAATCTGCGGCACTGGGACGACCTGACAACCGTGGAGCACCCATGGGGACAACATTTGAAGAAAGGAAGGTTGTCAATTTAAGTCAGGAGTTGCTGGGACACAGTGTGCCAAGTTTGGTAGTGACAGCGGATGCAGGACAGGTTCCAGGCAAGACAGAGATGGTTGCCAAAAGGAAGTTGGCAGCAGGGGGTATTGGGAAATGAGAGACAGTGGGCACTAGGGTGGGTTTGGCAGGTTTAATAATACAGAGACGCAGAGTACCAGGCTTGGCTGGATGGGGACAGTGGGTTCTGGAGTTGCAGGTAGAGGGATGTGCAGTGACAAGAAGGGGTCAGCGGATGAATGGGTTGGTGGACAGGTAACATTTTGTGTATTTGCATATTCATAATGAATATGCAAATACACAAATAAAATGTTGCAGGTCCGCCAACAGCTTGTAAATGGGTTTGCCGGTCGGCGGTATAAAAAAGGTTGGGAACCACTGGACTAGGGTGTAGTAACTGCAACTACTTTTTTGTGGGGTGCATTACATTTACTAAAATTTTGAACTGTTGATGTCACTGTAATATTTCTGTTCTTTGGCCTGCTAGTTCCACCTTACAGTAGTAACAAAATGTATTCTGCACATGGAAGGCAAAAAATAGTGGAAACATTGACTCTGAGGCAGTAAAGTGAAAGCTGCTGTATTTCCTTCAGAATTTCTCAGGAACAGCAAGCAACATTATGGAGATGTATTTGAAACCAAATATGCAAACAGAGTAGTTTCCTCCTCTCCAAAACCAGTTAAATCAAAGGCTTTGTAACCTCTCTGTCCCTTGTGATAAAATAACAAACCCACTGCCATTTTCTGCACTAAAACTTTAGTAATTTAAAAGCACATCCCTGAGTGATATAAGTTTTACCACTGAAAAGCACCAATATAGATAGCACAGCTCCTAGCAATAAATAGCTAATGAGTAGATCGATAGAATGTGTTGTAAAAGCTTCATCACTTCATTTGGAATGAGATTTTTTATCACCAGGCGAGATCTTCCCTGGAGATAAAGAATGACTATGCTGCCCACGTCACAGTGCTATGGCAGCAGCGCTGAAACGCGGTCAGTGCAGACACCCTAATTCTCAGAGTTCCTGATCTCTGAGCCTCCCTTGAAGCTCAGTGTTAACTTGGCAGCTCAGGAATCACAGAGAAATTGGTTCAATTGTACTGTCACTTCCACCCATCTACATGAAAAATCTCTAAATCTTGTTACTACATATTTTAGAAATGTGTGTCTGTCTGTTCATTTGTTCAAGAACGCCTCTTAAATGGTTACAACCACCAAATTTGGTATGCATTTTCCTCTTAAAGCAATGAAAGAGTTTATTTGTGGCAGGACAATGGGACTTGCCTGGAATGTGATTATTTCTCAAAAAACAGAAAGGAAGAGATTTGCTAACAGGGGCAGTTATACTACAGAATGACCACAGGAGGGCAGCAAGGGCCAGAGATGAGGCCCAGGACAGTTATAACCCCATTGGACCCAGAAGTAGAAGGGATGGAAAAAGGGACAGCTACCTACTGTATATTGTAGAAAGTTTGTCTGTCTGTGTGTCTGTCTGTCCCCCAACTGAGGGACATGCACCCCTCTCCTGGCTGTGCCTGCTACAGTGGCCATGGACAGGTGCTTTTCACCTGGCCCCAAGCTGATACAGGAATTCCTCATCTGCAACCCCACCCTAGAACAATGACTTAAATGAAGAAAAACAAAATTTATTTAAGGACTTGAGCAACAGCAAGTAAATCTTCTAGTGTGTATATATTAAGCACATGAAGCACTAAACTAATGGAATCCATGAGATCAATTACATCCATTATACAAATACAGTCTTAATTACTGTCTTGTTCCTGTGACAAGAGATTTTGGAGAGATTTTGATAGTACTAAAGCAACCAATATAAGTATAATGAAATGTTTCATTATAACATGTCTACATGGTCCTTAGTCCTGCCATGAGTATAGGGGACTGACCTTGATGATCTCTTGAGGTTCCTTCCGGTTTTATTATTCTGTGATTATATTAGGGATGTCAACGTGTAGACAACTACACAATTAACCAATAAGCCTAGGTTTATCAGTTAATTCTGTAAACTACATGCATCCCCTCCCCTTGCTGCCTCTGTATCAAAGACAGCGGGGGGCAGAGGGATGCGGGAGCCAGTGCCCATGGGAAGCCAGCTCCACCTGTCCCCTACCGCTGCCTTTAATAGAGAGGCAGCAGAGCAGAGGGTGAGGAGACAGATGGGAGCTGATATGTGTGAGGAGCCCAGCTTTCAAGCCAGCTCTCCATACATGCTGGCTCTGCACACCCCTTGCCTGGCTCTGCACACCGCCTGCTACCCCTTGCTGCCTCCTACAGTGGCAGAGTGGCAGGCAGGAACCACTCCCTCCCCCCCTGGCGCGCCGGAGAGGCGGGCCTTTGTCAACAGGGAGCCTGGCCCCATGGCAGCAGCCCCTGTACGCGGAGAGCTCGGGTGCTCCGCAGACAGGAGCTGCTGCAACCCCATGCTGCTGCCTCTGTATCAGGCAGGAGTTGGTCTGCATGGAGAGCTGGTTTTTAAACTGGCTCCCCTTGCAGACCGGCTCTCACCTAATAGAGAGGCAGCAGCACAGCATGGCAGGGGGCTCCCCAGGGGTGACGCTAGAGAGTACTGGCTACCAGCCCTACCCCGGAACTATCGAATAGTCACGTAATTGCTAAAATTTTATGCGGTTACACTATTCAATTACACACTAACATCCCTAGTTTATATTTGCACTTTTGTTCTGAATAATTTTTATGATAAACAGAGGGCCAGAGGGGCTATCAGGAGATTCTTTGCACCCACGCCCCAAAGTCTTGAGAAAAGGTCTTGTCTTCATTATGTGGGTGGATCGATGCCACAGAAATGGATCCACCAGCGGCAGATGTATCACATCTATTTAGATGTGATAAATCAATCTCCAAGCACTCTCCCATCAACTCTGCCAGGACGAGAAGAGTAGCTGGAGTCAACAGGAGAGCAGTACCCGTTGACCTTACTGCATGGAAGAAAACATTGGTAAGTATGTCTACTTCAGCTGCCTTTAGGGTTGAGCAACAGGAGGGCTTAGTGTAGCCAAATCTCCACTGTCCTCAGTCTTTGTTCCCCTGCCATGGGGAAAGCTGCAAATGTCCACACAACCTCCTCCACGCAACAACCTTACACATAAGGGGCTGACAGTGGATTTTCCTCAGGCAGATGGCAAGATCACACAAACCTATTTATGCCTATAATTGGTGAGAGAAAAGAAAGACTTAATCTCCCGCACCACAGCAACCAGAAACTTCACTACTCATCTCTTCCCTATAGCTGAACGGAGAAGGTGAGAGAGAGGGTAAAGACCTCAGAGTGTGGCACTGCCATTAAAAGCAACATCCACTTCCAAAAGGAAAAGACATTACCTGCTCATACTTTACAAAACCATTTTTAAATGGAGCCTTAAAATAAAGGCTTAATGGATTATTAAGAAATGTTATAAGAATCTTATAGCTGTGGATAGCACGCATTAAAAATGGCTAATAAGAACATCAATGGAATGTGTTGTAAAAGACTTATAAACCCCCTCTTAACTCATACAAATATTAAAGGACCCATATAAAATTGATTACCCATTTATTAGAACATCTAGGAATCATTTCTTAATTTTTTATAAAATATAAATGGAACCTTAATATTGTATAAAGTATAACCAAATTCCTAAAATATGGCTTAAAGCTTCTGTGAACAGAATGAAAGCCTGCTGAATGCAATGAAGTAATTCAAGACTTTTATTTCATGATAAAAAAGGAATTTCTAGGTAAGTTCCACTATGTCTTTTGTGCTTATGCAGTTTCTCACACTAAGCTTATAAAATAAACTATGAAAAAATAGAACTAAGTGTAGCGATTAAGAATACAGCAACTAAATCTTTTACAGGAAATAGTGATACCATCTGAAACTTTCCTTCTATGATTTTTTGCAAATGTTTCTAAATGACTTGAGTTCAAGTTCTTGCTTTATTTTTGCCTATTTACAACCTTTTCATTGTTTTGCTATTATATATATACAGGCAGTCCCCAGGTTACGTACAAGACAGGGACTGTAGGTTTGTTCTTAAGTTGAATCTGTATGTAAGTCAGAACGGGCGTCCAGATTCAGCCGCTGCTGAAACTGACCACCAGTTCCGACTTACATACAGAATCAACTTAAGAACCCCAAGCGTCCCCAAGTCAGCTGCTGCTGGAACTGACCAGCGCTGACTTCAGGAAGCCCGAGGCAGAGTTGTTCTGCCTTGGGCTTCCTGGAATCAGCTGCTGATCAGTTTCAGCAGCAGCTGACTTGGGGACGCTTGGGGTTCTTAAGTTGATTCTGTATGTAAGTCGGAACTGGTACATATTGTAGGGGAAACTCTAGCCACACATTTCTCCAGAGCTCAGTTTTATTCTCCCACACCTCACTTCCCTCAGTCCTTTATTCTCAAGCTGAGGTGTCTGCTGAAAAAAGCCGCTCCGCGTCTCCCTGGTCTGCAGACCAGGAAGACGCGGAGCAAAGCTGCGGAGGTGCTTGGGCAGCGGGGCAGCCCAGGCGCGCCTGGGCTGCCCCGCTGCCCAAGCACCTCCGCAGCTTTGCTCCGCGTCTTCCTGGTCTGCAGACCAGGAAGACGCGGAGCAAAGCTGCGGAGGTGCTTGGGCAGCGGGGCAGCCCAGGCGCGCCTGGGCTGCCCCGCTGCCCAAGCACCTCCGCAGCTTTGCTCCGCGTCTTCCTGGTCTGCAGACCAGGAAGACGCGGAGCAAAGCTGCGGAGGTGCTTGGGCAGCGGGGCAGCCCAGGCGCGCCTGGGCTGCCCCGCTGCCCAAGCACCTCCGCAGCTTTGCTCCGCGTCTTCCTGGTCTGCAGACCAGGAAGACGCGGAGCAAAGCTGCGGAGGTGCTTGGGCAGCGGGGCAGCCCAGGCGCGCCTGGGCTGCCCCGCTGCCCAAGCACCTCCGCAGCTTTGCTCCGCGTCTTCCTGGTCTGCAGACCAGGAAGACGCGGAGCAAAGCTGCGGAGGTGCTTGGGCAGCGGGGCAGCCCAGGCGCGCCTGGGCTGCCCCGCTGCCCAAGCACCTCCGCAGCTTTGCTCCGCGTCTTCCTGGTCTGCAGACCAGGGAGACGCGGAGCGGCTTTTTTCAGCAGACACCTCAGCTTGAGAATAAAGGACTGAGGGAAGTGAGGTGTGGGAGAATAAAACTGAGCTCTGGAGAAATGTGTGGCTAGAGTTTCCCCTACAATATGTACCAGTTCCGACTTACATACAAATTCAACTTAAGAACAAACCTACAGTCCCTATCTTGTACGTAATCCGGGGACTGCCTGTATATTTCTCTCTCCAAAGTTATTTCACCATTTTTTGCTTCTGTTTCTCATCCCCCCACCCCTTTGGTATTTTACTGTTATGTTTTATTTCTTTATATTATTTATAGTCTTTCTTTTTACTTCTCTTTCAATTCAGCTTATTCAGATCATGCCCCCCAAGAAACTCCATCACAGACAGAGGAATGAAATTAAAAGTGTAAAAACAGACTGTGTAACTTCATAAAGTATCTTTAAAAGTCACTAAAATCTTACCTAATTGTCTATTTACTCCTCCCTTTATTTCCTCAAAACTGTAAAACTTCAGTAGGAGGTGACTGTCATGATTATGAGGGTTAGCCAGCAGCCTGGGGATTAAGGGGTTAACTATACCTAGCCAGGTGGAGTGACCAATAAGAATGTAGGTGGGACTTTTCAAACTGGGACAAAGGAATTTGGGTTTTTTTCTTTTCTCCCTTTTTTTTGTCTCTCTCTAAGAGTTCTCTGCAGCTACAGAGAGGGACAAGCATGTCTCTCTCTCTCCAAGACACCATTCTTCATTTTCTGTAAGTAGGGTAAAGTTTAGGTAGTTTCGTTAGGTTTTATTGTGTTATGGATTGGGTATGGGATCTGAGATCTGGCACTGCCTAAAAGATGTTTTGGCTTTTCTTTGTAACTAAGTTCTAGGCCCATGGAGTTTCTCCATGAGTATATTTTGTTACCTCCCTATCTAGTCATTATGTTTGCAACAGGAATATTGTTGTAATAATAAAAGTTCTTTCTTTTCTTTTATTAACCTGGCAGTGGTTAATGGTGTGCCCTGATTTTTGTTTTAGGGGGAAGATTTCCCAAATGATCTTTCCCCTGGTTTCTTTAGCAACATTTGGGTGGTGGCAGCGGAAGTTTTATTCCCAAGATCTAGGTTTTTAAGATCTTGGGGGAAGTTTTATACCAAAGCCTGGTAGATAAGGCTTTGGGGTACACTTGCTGGCCCCCACTTCTGCATTTATCATGCCAGAGTGGGGAAGGAAAAAAATGTCCTCATGTGAAAATGTTGCAAGCAGGATGTCTCAGGTTTCATGCCATATTCAATGTTTAATATGTTTGATAATCTTGAAAAGGGGTGAGCAGAAAGAGCAAAACGTAGATCACACACAACTCTTTGAGTGACTGCACGTCAGTTCCACTGCAGTGGTATGTGTGCGTAGTTGTCAGAAGAGACTTTTCCTTGGTGATATGTTTGCATGGCACATGCACCCTCTACTGTACATGCCGCCACCCGAAGATATGAAGGGCTGACGTGCCACCTACCATCTTCAGGTCCTTCTTATGGCCTGTGACAGTTGTTAAAAAGTGTGACTTTTATTTTTTTTGCTGTTGCGGGTTTTTACCTCATGTATAGTTGGTACTTGTTTTAATAATTTCAGTAGTTTAAGCTATTTACAGAAATGAGTCTTCTTTTGAAGTGTCTGTAAACATTTTGGCTCCCATTGCTGGATGCTGGGTTATGCTTGAAGCTTCTTGGGAAGTCTCACTCCAGGGATTGTTTTCACATTTAGAGGGATTTTAGTCCAAGAACCAAGACTGACAGGGAGGCCAGGCTTCAATTTCTTGTCATGGAGGCAGCTCTGAGTCCACCCTCAGGGGTACTAGAGAGAAGTCTGGGGGGGACGTCAACAAAACTGAAATCTGGAGACAACTGAATTTGTTAAATTTTACAGCGCTTTATTATTTTTGTAATTTTTACACCCAAAAATGTCATCACCTGCCCAGCTACAATTAAGTTGTTTAAACAAATGTGTTGCAGTGGTAGAAAAAAATTGTGTGTCTGAAAACTGTAGATACCGGGGGTACTTTTGTGTGTGTGAAAAAGGGGGTACTTTATAAAAAAAAAAAAATGTTGAGACACACGGAGAGGCAGCAAAGGGGACGGAAAGAGGGAGCACTTAAAGGAACAGTGCTGAACGGAGCCTGGTAAGGGCTCTGTGCAACGCTGCTGGTTTGAAATGCCGTGGCGACACTTCAAAGGGGCAGCTCCACACATCTGAACCTGGGTTCTGTGCGGTGTTGCCCGGACCCTGGGCTTCAGGCAGGATTTCCATGGCATCCGGGATCAGCTGGGGAGTCCCGAGCTGATCTTGGCTCCGCTTGGCATTTCAAAGCAGCAGTGCTGCGTGGAGCCCAGGGTCAGCAGGGGACTCCATGCGGGTGCTTCTGCTCTGAAATGCACAAGAGACCCTGGGGGCTTATTTCAAAGGGTAAGGACCCTCATGGAGCCCAGAGTCAGGGTAAAATTTGATTAACTATCCTGTCTCCATCCTAGCCATCCATCCCCTCTCCGGTGCAGGCACTAACTGAAAGGTCTCAAGTTCACCCCTTTCATAGAATACTAGAACTGAGAGGCCATTAAGTCCAGTTCCTAAGCATCATCTAGATCAGTGGTCTCCAACCTTTTTAATCACAAGATCACTTTTTCAATTTAAGAGTAATGTAAGATCTACCTCAAACCCGAACACCCTTGCCCTGCTTCCTTCCAGCGGCTTCTCTGAGGCCCCACTCCTACTCCAACCCCTTCCCCGAGGCCTCACCCTGCTCACTCCATCTCCCCTCCTCATTCACTTTCACCAGGCTCGGGTGGAGGACTGGGGTGCAGGATCTGGTCTTGGGCCAAGGAGTGAGGGAGGGGCTCTGGGCTTAGCCCAAGGCAGGGGATTGGAGTCCAGGAGGGTTTCAGGGTGCAAGCTCTGGGAAGGAGTTTGGGTGCAGGGGGAACTTACATTTGGGGCAAGAGCTTGGGTGCAGGAGGAGGTTCAAGGCTGGGACAGAGGTTCAGGAAGCAGGTTCTGGCTAGGCACCGTTTAACTGAGATGGCTTCTGGTTGGTGGAGTTAAGGCAGGCTTACTCCTACCCTGGCCCTGCACCACTCCTGAAAGCAGCTGGCATGTACAGTAATGGCTCCATGGCACCATGTGCTGCTCCTTATCTACAGGCACTGAGCCCAGAGATTCTGTTGGCCACGGTTTCCCGTTATCGATCAATGGGTGCAGCAGGAGTGGTGCCTGCAAGCAAGGACAGCATGTGGAGACCCCCCTGCTCTGCCTTTCTCAGGGGCTGCCGGGACATGCCACTCACTTCCAGAAGCAGCAGTTACATAAGGATAAGTACTCTAGGCACGACAGGATAGGCATTTCAGAACTCACTACTCTCAGAATTAAACATAAGCATAAAAGAGAAATGAAAATTATGAAATGCACAAACCAGTCAAAAACCAAATATAGCTCACTTTGCAAGCAGCAAAAGTAGTAACAACAACCCCTCACATATGTGTTGGGTCGGGAGATGAGTGTGAAGAATAGTGTGTGTTTGTGAGAATGACAGAGACACAGTGTATGACAGTGACAGATTTGCATTGGTAAGCTCCTTCCATCCCCCTCTCTCTGTGTGGAGATAGTGTACACACGTGAGGGGGGAGGGACACCCTGACACAAGCGTCACCCCTCTTTTGTCTCCCACACACTGCACAGCAAGCAGAAGGTTCCCAGAAGGTCAGCTCCAAGGCAAAGGGCAGGAGCAGTAGGACAGTGGGTGGAGGGACAATTGAAGTGCCAATGCTTGAAAGCTTCTCCGCAAAACTAGTCAGGATCACCTGTCAGAAGCTCCAAGATCTACCAGTAGCTCCTGATCTACTGGTTGGTGAGCACTGATCTAGATCATCCCTGACAGGTGTCTGTCTAACTTGTTCTTAAATATCTCCAGTGATGGCAATTCTACAACCCC